TGTGTGTGTGTGTGTGTGTGTGTGTGTGTGTGTGTGTGTGTGAGAGAGAGAGAGAGAGAGAGAGAGAGAGAGAGAGAGAGAGAGAGAGAGAGAGAGAGAGCCTATTCTACCGAGCTACGCGCTTTCCCTCCCCCCACGATGACATATGGTATCTTCTCCGTTCAGTTACAAATCTGATCTGTGTTTCATCGAAACCCTTAAACCACCACTACCTTCGATCCTGTTTTTTCCGAGCCTGAATTTGACTGTGCACCGAGTTTTGCCGAGCCTGGGCAGTTGCATCTGCAAAAGAACATAAAAACGAAAATAAAAGAAAAAAGAAAAAAAAAGCACTTCCCTAACGCTGCGATGTCCGTCAGATGCATTCTACGAGGTGCCAGTGTGACTGCGCCCTCAGTGAGGGCGTCTGTCCACTGAACACGAAACAAAGAAGAAGAAGAAGAAAAAAGCATCATTTATCTGCTTTACCGCACGCTGATTGAGCGAGGGGTCGGAGTTCAAATTTTTGAGCTCCGCTCAATCCCGCGCTCAAAAGCGCTTGAGCGAGCTTTGAGCCGGCGCAAGAATATTTTTTTCCCTGGAAAATAATGAGCAAAAAAAAAAACAAAAATACATGGTTGTAGATATTATTGAGATTTACAACCCTATGTTTTTTATTTTATTTCTTGTAACTTTTTTCTTTATAAGTTTATTTTTTTTTTAAATCAAAAACGTAAAAGTGCAATCAGACTCACTTTCGTTCACACTTTACATGCATGCAAACAGTAGCGCAGCAAACTGGCGACGTGCGCCCACTCAATACTCAGAGATATGGCAACCCAGATATGAGTTCACTTCCAATGGCTATGGCGTCATAGCGCCCATACAACTCTCTGTTCGCATGCCCTGGATCACCCTGGATATCCCACGCACAACACTCTGTTCACTCTCACTCACTCACACACTGCACACTAACTACAGCTATGGTGGCTATGGCCGCCTCTACCCTATCGCTATGGCTAAGCTTCGTCTCTCTACCCACTTCGTCCTCGGGCTCACTGCAGACCTCCTTGCACAAGTCGCTGTGGCAGCGCTTCCGCATGGCTCACACAGGAATGAATGAATGGCTGGGCGCTGCCTCTTGATTTATACTTCTGCGGTGCGTTGGTCTGGCCCCTTTCCCAGGCCCGATGTGCACACAGTCCCATGCGGTACTTGCTTGACTGGACCGGACTGCCTAGGACTGGGACTGCTGACTCTGCATGGGCAAACTCCACCACTTGCCTCGCCGCTTGCCCACTTGCCTCAGTCTAAGTGTGGGACACTCCGAAAGGCCACTACTCAGACCTTCCGGAAGGCCGTGGACTTGGCCTTTCGGTACTGTAGCAGCTACGACTTTGACCCTTCTGGGCTGTAGCAGCTACGACCCTGACTCTTCGAGAAGGCTACAGCTACGACCTTTAGAAAAGAAAGAAAATAACAAAAAAAACAATATGAAATGCCAGAATGGGTGGGTTTTTCTTCTTTTCCCCAGAGATTTTTTTGCAGGCAAAAAATGAACAAAATAAATAATAAAAAATATAGTCTTGCAGATTTTTTGGAGAGCTACGACCCCATAATTTTTTATTGTATTTTTTCTAAGTTCGTATATATTTAAAAAAAATAAAAAACGTAAAAACGAGAAAAAAAGACACTCACAGACCCCGCCCAGGCCGGGCCTGCCCACACACACACACATGAACACACACACACACATGCGCGCGCACACACACACACACACACACACACACACACACA